AAGCTTTATTCACATAAGTCTCTCTCAGACTCACATTTTAAGATCAAGTTTACACCTTTGGATATACCATTAACTCTACCAATTTACAGAAATAGATAATTATTCCTAATTTTTTTTTCTCATAGAGATAGACAAGCTTAGAGATTTCTGGTTTTCCCATTTATATGAAAATTGTAAAACAACAGGTGAACGAGTCTTTACTGTGTCAGGATCAAATGAAGTGACTATTTCTGTACCTTTCCTGCACCGCTTTCCAGAGTAGAGTGATGAGAGACAGTCTCGAAGCCTATTTTGTTGTTTACTTTTTCACATGTGATATAAATCCGTTCCCCTTTGTCCTTGGAGTACACTTCTAGGATTTTTTTTTCTTTCTGGTTTTTTTCTTTTTTTTGTCAGTAGTCAAAAGTTGGATGCTAAATGATTCAGAAAGAAAGGAACAAGAGAATAAGAACTATGATGTGAACATCAGGGCTAAAAGGAAGAGATAACTCAGTGGCCTTTGCTTTAAACTAGGAAAATACCTTTCATTCATCCATTCATTCATCCATCCATTTATTTATTTATTTATTTATTGCTGAGGAAGATTCACCCTGAGCTAACATCTGTTGCCAGTCTTCCTCTTTTTGCTGTGAAAGAGTCTTCCTAAGCTAGCATCTGTTGCCAATCTTCCTCTATTTTGTATGTGAGTTACCACCACAGCATGCCCACTGACAAGTGGCGTAGGTCTGCACCTGGGAACCAAACCCAGGCCACCTAAGTGGAGTGAGCTGAACTTAACCACTAGGCTGGCCCTACATTTTATTTTTAATAACTGTCATTTGTTAAATACCTATGTGCCAGATACTTGACGTACATTATCTTATTTAATCCACGTTATCCTGAGAGATAAAAATAACTCCCTCCCTTCATTTTACAGACAAGGCTCCGAAAGATTAAACAGTTTGCTTTAGCCATGTGCCCAGTAAATAGCTAAGTCAGGATTTGAATCCAGTCCAACTCTAAAGCTCTTTGTATTGTACAAGCTGCTTACTTTGGCCTAAGAGAAAACTCTTAGGATTAACGCTGAATTTCTGGTGAATTGCTTTAACTTTCGTGGCTCTTGCTTTCTTTATCTGTAAGATGAGAGGGTTGAGCTGGATCTTTAAAGTTAATTCTGATTGTGAAATTCTGTGATTCCTGGGTTCTTTATTGAATTGAAGCAGAGAACGTGTAGAGCTTCTGGTAGTTCTCTTGTGTGCAGCCAGTTTGGGTTGTAATGAAGACTGTTAGCCTAATGATTTTTTCACACCTTTTCTGTGCCTGAGATGCAGAAAAGACATAGTGGGAGGATGGGTTAAAAGAAGGTACATTGTGTCAAATGAAGATTCACAGAAGAAAACTTTTGAAAGAAAAGTACCAGAGCATGGCAAGCATGGGCTAGAGATGTGTGTGGGTGGAACCTGGTAATTGTCTTTAGACACCAACATCCTTTAACCTTAGAGGATTATTGTGCTTGAGCTAGTGAGTCTGTGTGTGTGTCTGTGTCAAGGCATTGGGGATTGTGCTAGATGGCACAATGATGACTCAGTTTCAGTTCTTTTAGGGCCTTATAACGTTTCTAATTAAATAGTAGAGAGAGAGTTATCAGAGGAACACAATTATTGACATAGGAGAGCTAGTGAAATGACATGACAAAAAAGAAGCATGATTATTGCAATATTTTTATTCCATTTATGTAGCACGTTTTTCTCTGAAGGTGCTGTACAAATAACATTGAGATAATAAGCTATTTTAAAATGTCAAAACACTAAAGAATAAGAAAGTGGCCAGGAGAAGTAAATACACAGAAAAGAAGCAGTAGAGGCTTTAGATCACTGGTGTGCGCAGCAGGTTAGTGATTCTTTGGCTAAATCCATTGCACTCACCATTGGTGCTGTAAATGGGTGAAGACTTGACAAGGGGGCCTTTTTCTTGCATCAGTTTAGTGCTCACCATTCTATATGTTGTTGTGATTGAAGACCATGGATTTTGGTGTCAGATGGACCTGTATTTAAATCCTGATCCTTTTAACTGTTAACTTGGAACAAATTACCTAAATTTTCTGAGCCTCAGTTTCTTCATCAATAAAGTGGTGTTAATTATACCTCCCTTGTTAGGGTTGTCCTGAGGATTAAAGTAAATGAGTTATATACATAAAACATTTAGTTCAGTGCCTGGCACGTGGTAAATGCAACATGTCAAAACAGTGATTATGATGAGGTTATAGAGCATAAAAGCTGCAGCTTCTCTGTGGATCAAAAGATAAGGTTATGTGGAATTGTCAGAATCTTCTTTTTCTTCTCTGAATTGGTGTAGTAAAGTATAATCTGTACTTCGTAGACTAGCATTAGATTTTTTAAAATGAAACATACAGAGACTATACATAATAAACAGTCATATAGCCACCACCAGCTTTAAGAAATAAAACATTACAGAGGGTATTGAAGACCCCTGTTTCTCCCCCCATCTGAGATAACCACTGTCCTGAATTTGGTGTATCATTTCCACGCATATTTTTATATTGTAATTATATATCCATAAACAATATGTGGTATTTTTACATATTTAAAATTTTTATATAAATATTGTTATACTGTGTATATCCTTCTATAGCTTGTTTTTTTCTCTCATCATTGTTTTTGAGATTACTCTGTTATACTTGTAGCTTTATTCATTTTTTTTAACTGCCATAGAGCATTGCATTATATGAATAAATATACCTGAATATACCATTCTAATCTAGTCTCTGTCAGTGGACATTACCTATAATTTTGAATATTTCTGCATAACTCGCACATTCACATCCCCCTCCCTCAACCTCTAAAGGTAACTACTATCTTGAATTTTGTTAATTTTTTTTATGATTTAAACATACATATTTCTAAACAATGTGTTATTTGAGTTTCGCCTGTTTTTAACGTTTATGTAAGTACAATCTTACTGTGTTATTTAGTGACTTACTTTTTTGTTAACGTAATGATTTTTTTTTTTTAATACATGGCTTCACTCTTCTTCTTCTTTTTTTTTTTTTTGAGGAAGACTGGCCCTGAGCTAGCATCTGTTGCCAATCTTCTTCCTTTTTTCCTTTTTTCTCCCCAAAGCCCCAGTAGATAGTTGTTTGTCATAGTTGTACATCCTTATAGTTGCTCTATGTGGAACACCGCCTCAGCATGGCTTGATGAGTGATGCATAGGTCCGAGCCCACGATCTGAACCCTTGAACCCTGGTCCACCAAAGTGGAGCCTCTGAACTTAACCACTATGCCACCGGGCTGGCCCCTAGCATAATGATTTCGAGATTTCATTTATGTTGATGTATGTGGCAATAGTTATTTGTTTTTATTATGTACATTATTCCATTGTTTGAATTTATTGCAATTTATGGACTTTTAGGTTGTTTCTGACTTTTTACTATTACAAACAATATAGAATTAACATCCTTGTACATGTGTGTTGAGTTTCTCTCAGGCATATACCTGGGACTGAAATGACTGGGGTATAGGTAATGTATGTGCGTCTTTATCTTTACTGGATATTGACAAGTAGTCATTTCATTATCATTTAATTATAAATATTTTATAATTTTATAATTTCTGATTTGACCCATGAGTTTAAAGTGTATTTTTAAAATGTCCAAATATATAGAATTTTTTGTTGTCAATTTTTAACTTAATTGCTCTGTGGTCAGCTAATAATGTCTGTATCTTACTAATTTTGTGGCATCTCTTGAGACTTTTGCTTTATAGCCTAATGTGTGGTCAAGGTTTAGCCAAGTTTTAGTCAGTTTTTATAAATATTCCACATGTGTTTGAAAATAATTGATTATCTAATTGTTGGGTAATGAGTCCATGTATGCTTATTAATCTTCTCTAATTTTGCTAATTATTTTGTCTGAGACAGGTATATTAAAATCTTCCCATTATGATAGTAAATTTGTTTCCTGTAAATACAATCATCTTTGCTTTACATATTTTGAGGCTTTGTTATTAGCTGCATACAGGTTTAGAATTGTTTTATCTTCTGGTAAATCCTTTTTTTTTTTTTACTATTAGATAATGATCCTCTTTATCTCTAAAACACTTTTTGTCTTAAAGTTTACATTTTCTGACAATACTATAGCTATTACTGGCTTTTTAATCATGTGTATTTGCTGGTTTTTTTAAAATATACTTTAAAGTTTTCTTTATCCTCATGTTTGTTTTTAGTATGTCTCTTGTAAACTGCATAGAATAGGACTTTGTTTATTCAATCTGAATTTTTCGTCTTTTAACTGCTAAGCTTAGTCTGTTTACATTTATTACCATTACTGATACATCTGTACTTATTTCTGCCATCTTTTCTATTTACCCTGCTTTGTTCTCTGCTTTTTTTTCTTCTTACTTGTCCTCCGTTGGTTTGAACAACTTGTCTTTATTCCTTTATTCCTTCTACTGATTACCCTTAAAATTTTAACATTCATTTGGCTTTGTAAAGTGTTTTGTTAAAATCAGTATGTTTACTGTTCTTCTGAACAATATAAAGACCTTAGAAAGCTTTAATTCCAGTCACCCTCCACCATTGTTATGTTTTTGACCAGTTATTTTACTTCCTTTTTTTTTTTTTTTTCTTTTTGTGAGGAAGATCGGCCCTGAGCTAACATCTGCCAGTCCTCCTCTTTTTGCTGAGGAAGACCGGCCCTGGGCTAACATCCATGCCCATCTTCCTCCACTTTATATGGGACGCCGCCACAGCATGGCTTGACAAGCAGTGTGTTGATGCGCACCCGGGATCCGAACCAGCGAACCCCTGGCCGCTGCAGCAGAGCACGGGCACTTAACCGCTTGCACCACCAGGCCGGCCCCTTACTTCCATCTTTTACTCACCCAAATTAGTCTTTATTATTGCTGCTATTACATTTCATTTTTATACTAACTTTCATTGTTTTCTAATAACCCAAGAAGATTGTGAGCTCCTTAATCTGGTTTTCGCACTCTTTCTCTTTAGATTTTCAAAAGAAACAACCAGATGACGATTCCACTCCAAGTACAAGTAACAGCCAATCAGATTTGTTTTCTGAAGAGACCACCAGTGACAACAACAATACCTCGATAACCACGCCAACTCTTAGTCCCAGCCAGCAGCCGCTTCCGACAGAACTGAATGTAACTTCACCAAGTAAAGAGGAGTGTAAGTGCCCAGATCCTGTGAAGTGATAGAGAAAGCAGCCCAAGAATTATATCATGAGCTTCTTGGTAATGCCTTGTCCCAGAAAAAAAGATAGCAGATCTTTTAATTCGAGTTTAATATAGGCCCAAGTCAGTAAGTTGGAGAATAAGTTTCACCCATTCCATAGAGCTTAAGGTCTTCTTAAAAGGTAGCTTCTTATGTTAAATGTTAAAGTAAATGAGGTTTTGAACCAGTCTAGGGCAGTGGTTCTCAGCTCTGGCTGCAAATTAGAATCCACTAGGGATTTTTAAAACAATTTTAATTTTCAGCATCATTCCCTGAGTCTAATTTAATTGGTGTGGAGGGAGGCCCAGGAATCTGTTCTTTTTAGCTCTGCAGAGAATTCTAATGTGCAGCAAGTGTTGAAAACCACTGGTATAGGGAATTTACCCCTGACTTGGGAACCTTGGATTGAAACCTTACTTCTGTCACTAACTGGGCCTTGAATGTTTCTAGGCAATTAACTGAGACAGTAACACTATATACTTCATAGAATATAGGGTATTTGAAGGGAGGAGGAGATGGTTTCTGTTACTCTTCTGTAAGCCCCCAGTGGTAGAATACTATTATCATGTATGTGATATGGAAGGCCATTGTCCACTTAATCTTTATAATACTATAACTATCTCCTTTAGGGCACAAATATAACTGACAGCATTTGTTAAAAATTATAGAGATGTTATGACACAGCAGTTTTTGCCTTTAAAAAGCTTTACTTAACAGGTTGAAGTTTGGTGTTTAAAATTTAATGAATATCTAGACAATTTAATGAATATCTAGAAATCTTTGGATTATGGTAGGTTAGAATGTTCTGTCTACTAACTTTGGAAAGACTATCAGAGAAAAAATATTTATCTAAACCTATCATAAACCACGATACTAGGTAAAATTGAGAATATAAAAGTAAAGAAGGCCAGGGGCTGGCCTGATGGCTTAGTGGTTAAGTGCCTGCGTTCTGCTGTGGCGGCCCGGGGTTCGCAGGTTCGGATCCCAGGCGCACACCGACGCACCGCTTGTCAAGCCATGCTGTGGCGGTGTCCCATAGAAAGTAGAGGAAGATGGGCACAGATGTTAGCCCAAGGCCAGTCTTCCTCAGCAAAAAGAGGAGGATTGGCAACAGATGTTAGCTCAGGGCTAACCTTCCTCACACACACACACACACAAAAAGAAGAAGGCCATAGTCCCTGTCCTCAAAGAATTTACTATTTACCAGGGGAAAATAAACATATTTGTTATATTAGTGGTTTTCAACCAGGAATAATTTTGCATCCCCCCTCCGCCACGCTGCTAAACATCCTATACTGCATAGGGCAGCCCTTCACAACAAGGAATATCCAGCCTGACATGTTAGTAATGCCAAGGTTGAGAAACCCTGATACATGGTTGTATGCACCCATTTTAATGGTCTTTCTTATGTTTTTTTTGTGTGTGTGTGAGGAAGATCAGCCCTGAGCTAATATCTGCCATTCCTTCTCTTTTTGCTGAGGAAGACTGGCCCTGAGCTAACATCTGTGGCGATCTTCCTCCACTTTATATGGGACGCTGCCAAAGCATTGCCTGACAAGCGGTGCATCGGTGCGCGCCCGGGATCTGAACCCGGGTCGCCAGCAGTGGAGCACACGCACTTAACCACTATGCCATGGGGCCGGCCCCTTTCTTGTGTATTAAAGTCAGTGACTGTTTAAGAAGGGTGTTGGTTTACTGGAGAAAGTAGTGTTGAAGACAGACACAAGGTGGTGAAAAGACATTCTAGACAGAGTAGAATGAGCTATGGAAGAAAGCTGCGTGGAGTTCTGCAATGGCAAGTGACTCCTTTAGGGCCATTTGTGGAGGACAAGGCTGGAAAGGAAGATTATGGTGAAGTCATAAAGGCTTGTTCTTTTGGAGAGGTAACCTGACAGTATTGAAAATGGGAAGGACTATACTAGAATAACATTGCAAAGAGAGGATTTTTTAAATATTGTAACTTATTGAATAGAGGCCCAGGGGAAGGGGTAGAAATCATTTAAGAGGATAAAAAAAGATGAAAATCGTAGTGGTAATGTTAAGTGGTAATGTTGTTTTAATTTTAAACATCTGTTGGGGGTCATGTACTTATCGAGGAGCTAATGAAAACTATGGCTTCATGTCTCAGAAAAATACATACTGCACAATCCATTTATGCTCAATTTTGAATAAAATGTTTTTAAAGCTCACTATGGCCCTTAGATTAAGAACTCCTTGTCTAAGGGAAAGGTTGGAGCTGGTCAGGATCTCATGTGATGGAACCGCATCTGATTGGATCAGCACATACCAGGATCAGGCCACAACAAACCAATTTGAGCAGCCACAATGCATGTGAGACTGAGATAACAATAGTTACCATTTATTGAGCGCTTTATATGCAAGACATTCTTCTATATGTTTTGTATATTTTCTCTTTTATTCCTCATGACAAGGCAAGGAGGTAGATACTATCATTATCTCCATTCTGTAGATAGAGAAACAGGCACAAGGAGATCAAGGAATTTGCCTGTGATCACAAAATGGCAGATACCAGAACCAGGATTCAGATTCAGGCATTTGGCTTCAGAATCCATGCTTATAAGTTAATTCACAATGTGAAATATAACTGCCCCAGAGAATAGAAATATTCATGGTGGCAAGATTAGCATTTTCTCTCTGTAATTAAGTTATGTGGAAACTCAAATCATAACCAAAAGTTACTTTATTAATTCATCATGAAAAATCCTTGTAACAGGGATTGGAAATAAAAATATATCCATGTGACAGACATTTTCTCTGGAGGCAGACCTTTTTTGGGAAGCCAACCCATAACAAGGATTTATATAGCAAAAGGCAAAGCATGGACTCAGAACAAGTGGAGTTAGGTGAAGTGAACTTTTAATTGAGTCAGGCTGATTGTCAGATGCACTCTAAGGACATATAGGAAAGATCTTGCATTCAGTGCAAGATTCCATCTATATACCCTTTTCCTTTTCCTCTGCCTGGGCTTAGACCTACCCTGAAGTCTGGAGCCCCTGGGACACAATACTTCCTGTGTTTCCACAGCTTGCCAGTCTAGGCCCCTGTAGACTGCCATGTTTTTTCTTTTGATATATAAATACCTTCAGTCTGATTAAGGATGTCTAACTCTGCTAGCTTCAGATCCATTTGCTTTCTGGTGACATCACTGCTTTACACCATTGTCTGTTCATCTTCATGTTAAACTCTGTGAAGCTAATTTTATATCCTAATTCTTTTGGGGCTTGTTATTGTAATCCTTGGGTTTTCACAGATCTGGGGAAATGAGATTTGCTAATCAGAGATATGACAATGATTTAAGTGTTCAACTGGGCAGTATGAGTTGGAGAGAAGTCAAAGTCAGCTTCATCCACATGGAGATGATAGGTGAAGGCTGAGGGGTTAAATGAGATTGCCAAGGGTGAGAGCAAAGAAAAGCAGTGAGTGACACCAAAACAGAGGACACAACTGAAGAAGTCAGAGAGGAGGAGAGTGATAGTGGGCGAAGTCACAAAAGCCAAGAAACAAATTTCAACTTATGATGTGGGCTTTAGTAATAATATTGAAAATATTAGCTCACGTTTATAAAGTGTTGGCTATATTCTAAGCACTCTTCTAAGGTCTTTACATGTACTAAGATGTAGTTTTCACAATACCCTATGAGGTAGATGCTTTTATTATCCTTTTTTTTTTACAGATGAGCAAGTTGAAGCATAGAGAGGTTCAGTAGCTTCTGCCCAAAGTTGCAGAGCTCCTGCTTTGCAGTGTAGCTCACATTCTAACCTACTCATTTGGCTCCAGAGCCTATGCTTTCAGCCACTGTAGTATATTGCCTCAACGTTGTGAAGATGCTGCAGAGACTGTCAACTGGACATTTGGATTTGGTGGTCATGAGATGGATTTAATAAACTGTTTCAGTGGTTTGTATCTTCATTTAGCACTCTTTGCTGAGAGCCTACTATATGTTAGGCACTAGATTAAGTGCTGGGTACGGAAATGAGTAAGATTAGGTCTCTACTCACGAGGAGGTCACCTTTTTAAATATATATGCCTCTCCCTGAGATTCTGGCTTGTTCTCCCAAACAGGTGCATCAGAATTTGGGGGTGAATGGGAGGCAGCAGCAGGAGTGGTGGTTAATAAGCATATCATTTGCAAAAGCTTTCTCAGGTGGGTTTTGCTACCTCACCTAGGTTGAAAACTATGCTAGAGTGAGGAGGTGTGTACCTGGTTTGTGGGTGAAGGATATAGAGATGAGAAAAATAAGAAAGGTTTGTTAAAGCTGTCAAAGGTGTCAGGGCGGATGCGTTATAAATCAACATGAGATAATTTAAGTGATTGCCGAGTAGCAGTGAAGACCCAGGTGAGATTAGACAATGTGATCCATTGACACCTTGCAATTTTCTTCAGCTGTGAACTACCTAGGAGAAGAAAGATGGAGGAAGAGGCAGTAGGGGATTACTTATATTGATCTTTTACTATAAGTAATCCTCAAGGGACCAGAATTTTATCTGTTGGTCCTTCTTAGCTTTCCCTAGCAAGGTATGGAGAAGTAGGGTGTGGGAGTTACTGGGAAATGGGTTTGGGATTCCAAATCCAAGTACTACATAGTTTGTAAACTATACACTAGTTATGGATCCATTGTTATTGTGTAGAACTGGAAGTGCTCTGTCTTCGTTGGGACTTGAAAAAAGGTTTTACTTTTTTCCTAATAATCAAGGGAGTAAGTATTGCTTATATCTGCTTTCTACTTCTCACTGTTAAATATATGATCAGGAAGATGGTGAGAGTCTGGGTACCTTAGTGCTGTTTTGAAAAGACTGCAGATAGAGTAAGAACAATTGACAAGAGTGTGTAAAGCAGAGAAACAGGACAGATTTTTATCCAAAAGAATTTCTTACAACACCTGACGGAAGGTCAAATAAAACATATCCCAAAGCTCCAAGTGATATTTCTTTGT